GGGGGGGGGGGGGGGGGAGAATGTGAAATCATGAGCAGAGACATCAAAATGAGTGCGAATCCTGATGTAATGGGATTCCCCTATTAATTAAAACCCTCACAAAAAAGGGAAGGAAATCTTATCATTATATTATGAACTTGACAAATTCGGAGAAAAGAAACATCAAATGTCTCTTTGCAGAGTAATCAAGATTGTGAGGGCAGTGCGTTTTTTTTTGTCAAAAAAGAAACAGAACCACAAATATCTTTCTTGTGATGAATTTTGGAAGAAACAGTAGGCACACCCTGTGGAACTTAAGATCCCTTCACCGCACATTTTGCCTGGTCTTGATCATCCGCTTCAGTGTGGCCAGCCAGAAGTTGCATTCATCCCATTCGCTGGTCGTTAGCAACACCTGTTTCAAATACAGATCCTGCAATTCAGCAATTTCCATGCCCGGAATATACTGACGTTTTATTACAACGCACCTGTATCTGTAGTGCTCCGCTGAAATCATGCTTGTCCAGAGCTTGACAGAGCTGCGCCAGTTTGTCTGCCACATTCTTTGAGATGTCTCCACTGTTGAGTTTCACAAACAGAGCCCCTAATTTCCTCGAGTTGTCTTCTATTTCACGTTTTTTCACTGGATTAGCACGTGTTCCTCCTAATGCTTCTGATGTCTCGCTGAAAAGCCTTGTCAGTGTTGCTATTATGGGTTTCTGGTGGGCTGCAGCAATTTAACAAGAAGAGGAAACACTGTCCAGTGAGAACTGACTGACCAACAAAACCATACATCCTCACAATGGCAAACAAACCACACAGTTCCAAAATTTTTAACACATTAGATCCATACCTGGCACGTTGGAAGTATCTGCAGTCTGAACAGTTGGCGGTGGAGCTGGTTGTGCATCTGCTTGCTGTGAAGAACCACTTACTAGCTGCACCGAACCCACTCCAGTTCTTGGAGCGACTCCTGGAGTTGCCATTGGCATAAACCCCATAGGTGTTGTCGTTGGAGCAACTACTTGGTGCATCTTTGGGGTAGGAAAATGACCAACTTGTGAAGCAGCCGATCCATGTGGACCAGGACCTGGGGGAGCAGTGTTACCAGAACCCTGGGGACAGAGCCAATAGCTTAGAGAAACTGAAATGAAGGCATCTTCAAATTTAACATAGATACGAGTGCACATACAGTAAACAAATGAGAACCCATGGTTGGCTGCTGATATTGCTCGACGTTCTTTAGAGCAGGAGGAGTTGAAGGAACAAAAGTAGTTCTCATGGATTGCTGAGCATTGCTTACAGGAGCAGGAACGAAAGATGGCTGCAAGGAAACCAGAATACACAAGGTTAGGCACAGAAACCAATCATAACAGAATCGATAAGTCCCAATCACAAGCGACTACTCCAGAGATTTATTCTCAACCGCCAGGATAACTCTAATTTCTCCATCCACGTTGCTCCTTTTACCCAACAGTGTTGTTGACCTTGTACTGTAGACCTTTAGGTTTTCAAGGAATGTTTTGAGATTGATGAGATGTAATCATGTAAGTATATTCTATGTGATTTATTGTCTCCCATGTTCCCACAACAGAGGAGGATAGGCATTTTAGTCAATATAGACCTGCATAATGCTCTCTAACTCAATGATCGAAACTTGATGAGTACTCAAAATAGAATTGGAAATGGTCAATTACTTGATTTACACACTGCTGAGGTCTCCTACATGAAGACCAAACATCCATGAAGTTTCCGACCAACAAGGTGAAACACATATTAAACAGAAAAAGAAAAGCAAAAAGCCAAAACTCATTTACCTGTGGATCAGGCTGAGCTTGGTTAGGCATAAACATGGACGGCTGCTGCATAGGTGGATGCGAACTTGAAGGGACAATCCCTCCCGCATAAGAATCATTGTACTGTTGTTGATACTGATTATCGTATGGACTACCAGGAACACTTGGTGTCATTTGAGTTGCTTTCTAAGTAACAGAAGAATAACAGTTGAGTACCTTTGATCTAAAAGCAAGGAGATAGCAGTGTTCCAAAGCAAGACATAGGAACAGAACTCAAGATCAAACCTGATGATATGGCAGTGGGCTTTCAGGATGAGGGTCAATCGAACTAGCATTTTGAGTATCTACAACAGCACCTGAAACATTAGGGACTAGCTAATTTCATATGCCTACAGAGAAACTATGGAGTATGGAATTAAGCCAGCTCCAACCATTCCAAGAAAAAATCCTAAAGAAAAATCTACAAAGTATTAACATGACCATGTTTTCAGCAGCTGATTGTAAGTCATCAAAAAACCTCTGTTCCAGAGAAATTTACCCATTACGAGCAGAACAAAAATTATTTCGTCAACTGCATTAATCTAGGAGCAATGGAATATTTGACCAAGACAGGCAAACCGGATTGGTCCAGAGAGAAATAAATGAATAATGTGCATTGGTTAGATGTTAGATGTAGTTGGTTGAGCTTCTATGTTGTTAAGTTATGAATTCAATTATGGGAATCTCAAATTCCACATTCAAAAGATGACTTGAGCCATCAACAGTACTTTCATGCTAGAAGATATCCTGACAACATATCTGATTACGTACCAGGTTCTGCAGACAGGGCAATCCGATCCCGTAAGATTGAAAGTTCAGGTGACAAGCCACCAGACTCCAGAACTTTCAAACACTTCATCGCCGTCATTAGACGCCCCTGACAGGCCAAAATCTCAGAGTAACTCTCAAAAAGCTTGCAGAGGGATGTGCTGAATCTTTTGTTCCCGGTTGCCAAGGCAAGAACAAGGGTCTTCTCCATAAAATCCTAGCAAAAGAGGAAAGCGAAGATTTTGAGCCGGGATACTCAAATTAGCTTATGGCATTATAGTGCACAAGATAAAAGGTAATACTCACTTGAAGAACCTCAGCATAAGATTTTCCATCACGCTCATTTACAAGGCTGCTTGACCAAATTTCTACTGTTTTGTCAACATTATTTGCGCAAATATAGCACAAAGTTGCAGCCAAAGTATTACCGGCAGCCATCAACTTTGAGGCGAGAGCATCACAGAGACTGGTCCATTCATCTCCTTGTGCAAACTGGTTGTCAATAAACATAAGAATGACATGAGTTATGAAGAGTTTTGAAGCAACACAAGTTACGTAGAAGTTACATGGTAAAGAAATCAGAGTGTTATTCACAACAAGTCTGACAGCCTTTAGTTAACATCACATGTTGGACAATATAATGATCATGTAAGATAAAGATCATTTAGATCTCGTTTCTTTATGAACGCTACGAAACTACTAAAATTACTAACTTGTTAACAAAATCACCCATACTGATTAGTACAACAACATTATAAAGAAGATTCTTTCAAGATCAGCTACACTTCTTCCATTCTTTTATTAAGAGATGCAAGAAATTCAGTAACCAGTGTTCTTACTTCATCAAGAAAACAGCCATAACCAAGTAACAAGTTTACTACCATTGTCTGATGAACTTACACTACAAAGGAGAGCAAGAGTTTCTTTCCAGAACTTTGGTGGCCTGGTGTGAACAAGGGTCATGAGATCATTGTTCACCATCGCAGAAACAACCTGAAACAGATTCAAGCACAGAAATTGGATGAAATTGTAAACTATAATCAGGAAGCTCGATGGCACTGAATTGTGTATCAAATAGGAAGAGAATTTAAAGATACCTTCATGTAAGGTGCACAGCTCATCTTCAGATATCTATTACGAGTACTCTCCCACAGTGCAGCGCCGCCAACATGAGCAATGACTAAAGCATCAGCGAACTTATTTGCAGATATACACTGAGCTACCGCTTCCTTGTAATCCCCTACAACTAAAGCACGTTGGAGAGTATCATCAAATACTGGATCAGAGATTTCTTCTTCGTCTTCTGGTATTTGTTGAATCTCTTCTATGTTTGCACCATAACCAGTAGCTGGGGGAGTAAAGTCCGCAGCAGATGTTGATACAGGAGTATCAGTCTTAGGACTTGGAAGATTGTTGAAGAAGTCTTCACCATTATCCATACCAAATACAGCCGCCTCTTTATTGTACTCAGGCTCCATTGCATCTTGTTCCACAGTGTCATCCAACTGAGTGCCATTCAGATCTGAAGAAAGTCCGTCTACTGCTTTATCCTTCTCCTCAGAAAGCAAGCTAAAGCCCAGATGATTAAGCAACTTCGTTCTTGTAGTTCCTTCATCTTCAAACATAGTTTTCAACAAGCCCCATGTCTCCTTTTCCTCACTAGATCTGCCAAAAAAAAGAGAAAACAGAACAGATAGGAAAAATTAAAATTTCTGGCATTCTGCTAGTTTCTTGTAGGATGACTATAAGTGCATTCGACAATCGACCATAAAGATGAATTACTCAGACTCATGAGATTTCTTCTCACACAAAACCCTTAGAGAAAACTTGTCTCCTTTCTCTAGTGCATCTTCAAATTCAGAAGAATGATTCACCAAACTTTGTTCCATGACCAGAGTATGCAAAAATACCTGAAATGCGACAGGGAGTCATAAAAATTGAAAAGACAAAAGACAAAAGCAGAAGAAAATATGCTACCTAAGAACCCACCTCAGATGCATTGTTCGAAGCACCCTTTTGAGGAAGCTTTTGGTTAAATGAAACAAGCTTTCCGCCAAAGCCAAAAGATGCACCAACAGGTCGCTTGTACCATTTTGGTGCTCTTAGGGGAGCTGCATATAGAATAGGAAGAGCACAAAGCGACGTAAGTTCGTACTCTTCTCATTTCCCATCATTGAAATTTGAAATGATGAAAGCCCTCAACAATCAACAACAGAAATTAATGGCATTACCAGCACCAAAATAGTTCTCTCCAGCACCACAGCGGCTGCAACCCTACAAAGACGGCATATGAAACACGATTCCTTTCCTTTTAAATTGGATGGGAAACAAGAAATTTAGAGTGGAACAAGAGCTGTGCAGAATAACTGAATAAGCTAATTTCTCAACAGAGAGAAAGGAATAACTGATACACAAAACATGATATGAAACATGCTTCCAAGATAACTGACAATTTCCACGCTGGAAGGTAAGAATAATTAAACCCAAAAACATTTATTCTCCGGATGAACCCATAGGCAAACTACCAACATACCTCAATGTTGTAGATGCCTATTTTCCCGTCAAATGAAGATGCTGATATAACTCCAGGTATATTTAGGTACCAATGAACATCAAAATTCCAATTGTTGCCAGCAGGTAACTCAGCTACAATCTGACATGAGTTAGTTCACATTCAGTTAAATAGCATACCACACCTAATCAATCAAAATCTTCATTTAAATTCTTTTTTCCTACCTCTGCTGTATTTGTGTCCCAACAAATAGTACGGTTGTCTTTAGCACAGGTAAGAAGATACGAGCTGTCACTTGGGCACCACTCCATTGCAATCACGCCTGTAATATAAGAAATACCACCCCTACGTCATGAGACCAGAAGCTATGAGAAAACAGGAACATGAAGCAACTACAAGATACAGACATAACACCAAGAAAAGTATTATATAGCAATGAGATGGAGATACCTCTCGTGTGGCCGACAAACTCTTTCATGGGTGACATTGTATTCCTCATGTCCCAAAGCTATTTGCAGATACAACACAGATAAATAAAAGAGAACTTTGAACAGCAACAATTAATATAAAATGTGATCCACTACCTTCAGAGTAGAAGAACTATCATCATCTGATGCAACAATAATCTGAGTTGCAATATCAGGATTCCACTGCAAAACTGAGCACCGTCGTCGAACAGAATCTGCAAAGCTGTTGATTGACAAAGGCTTGACCAGATTGTGATAGCAAATGACTGAGGACGCCATGTCCAGGTATATCATCCTTGGAAAAGACACATTGCAAAGGCCAGAAATTTACCTAATTACAGGCTTCTGCTTCCTCAAGTCCCAGACCACTGGAGGAAATGATAAACACGGTTCAGCGGAAGTTGCACCACAGTTCACCAATGAGCGATAAAGATCATTCAAACTAGCTAGGAGGGAAAGAGAACTCTAATTCTCACCAGTTGTCCCATTATATGAGGTGGATGCTAATATTTGTTGAACCTTTCTGTTCCACGATAAAAAAGAAATTTCACCTTGTGCAGCAGAACTACTACCCTGCATAAGATCCTCGTCAATTTCCATTAGCCTCCAGGACTCAACATATAAAATTGCAGAAGTTGGAAATATACCATGCCTTTCTAGGAACAAAAAGATCAAATTAAAGCAATGGCGTGAATAGACATCCACCATCTACCTGGAGAGTCGATTGCTAACCACACACACACACACACACCCAGAAGATGCTTTTTAAGCAAGGGTCCTGAGCTGTAATCAATGATAGTATACCTTCAGAACAGGAAACTGAGAAGGCTCCGAAGGCTTAGCAAGATCCCAAATGCAAATCTCACCATCATCAGCACCAGAAGCAAGCAGGTTTGGTGTTATAGCGTTAAACTCGAGACCACGGACCTAAATACAAGGAAACAGAGCACACAAACACTCATATGAGGGGTCTTGGGAGATAACATGAGATAAAAGCTAACAATAGAATTTTTAGAAAGACAACTCACAGGCCCTTTATGTATTTGAAGATGTCCAACAAGCATACTTTCGCCAGACTGAGAACTGGAAACAAAAAAAAATGAGAAGGGGTCGAATTAGACTAGGACAACCAAAGAACCCTTCAAAAAGAGTACAAGTATGGGCTCTCCATCTCTATTCCCTCTTTTTCTTGCAGCATAGACTGTGTCAAAGTTGTATTCCACCAGTAACAGAGGACCTTGTCCTATATGCAAACTAAATGAAAGGAAATCAACAAATATTAAAACTAAAATTGTGGAATCATCAGCAAATGTAATGGCTGCCAGACGGTGAACTGCCATGGGATGACGGCCCCTAAAACCAACACATTATAACGCTAATAATAGGTATAATACGGCCTGAGAAACTCTATTGAAGACAGACTCTCCAGGTTCCTTAGCAATAGCAAAACTAAGAACAAAATATGCTTGCCAGATTTTCTTCTATGAGACTTCCAGTCCATATCACAAAAAAAAAACCTTTCCAATCTCCAAATCTAAAAAAGATAGCTTGCTTAAACGATCTAAAAGAGGAATTTCTCATAAGAATTAGGTCGGAACAACACAAACACAGGGGACAAGGGGGAAAACAGGTTGAAGACATGCTATATAAGCAGATTAGACGAAGATTCACAGCATTCAACCAGGATGCAAAAGACTCTAAAATCCATCTTGCATATTTAAAGCGGATATCAGTCAATCCGTCTATACTAGATCCACCATGACTTCCCGGTAACGGAGATTTTTCATTGCGAGCTCACAATGCATATATTATGAAATCCCAACGCAAATGAGTTGAATCGCATCAAGGGTGATGAAATCTGACGTGTGGTAAAGTGAGGTGAGAAGAATCACCGGATCAGAGAGAATGGATTCCAAATATCAATATTCCCATCGACAAGGCCACCGGCGATGAGACCAAGGGAAAGTTCGTCAGAGCCGGATCCATTTCTTCCCCACGCGAGGCGATTGAAACGTTCGGAGCTGGGGCACTCGCCCACCAGTATCAGCTCCCGATCGTCCGACTGGAAGTCGACCTTGAAGATATCGAGATTGGCGGACGAACTAAACGACAGATCCACAGCCCCTGCCATGGTCCCGGCCGCCATGTACGGAGCGTCCGGAGACAGCGCCACGGAGGCGGATCTGCTCACCTCCTTTATGCACGCCATTGTATGAGGAGATCAAAATCCCAGACAGAGGGAACAAAATGACAAGGAAGATAGAGATCGGGGTGTCCCAGAATTAGGGTTTGAAATTGAGATCTGATTGGGGGGTTTCACAGAGACTACAAGAGAGGGGGAGGAGAGGAGGGCCAACGCAAGCAGCTCGGTAACGACTCAGAAAGATGTACTACGGTCGGAGCATAAGACCAAAATGCCCCTGAGAGACAGCCAGCCAGCCAGCAGCTGGGGATCGGATTTTGGATGAAAACGAATGCTTGCCCTTAGTTTTGGAAATTTGATATTATTGTTATTATTATCATCATCAGAGTGATTAGGTTTAAACAAAGCGAGTCCGTAACGTTGTGTTGTGTATAAAAAATAAATGTATAGAAAAGGAAACATCATGGGTAGGTTACATATAACTTGGTTAACGGTAACATTATGAAGGAAGAGGAAGAGAAAGCCCCGACTCCATCCATGATCCAACACCTTCGCCATCTCCAGGAACGAATTGAACCCTGCGAGAGCACGTGGCATCGAGAAGGTGCACGTGCGTGCTGACTCTCCTTCCACTGGGCCTCCCCTCGGCCCAACCCATACATCACCTTCTGCGGCCCACTTCTTAATCATAAACATAAACATATATGCTTGTGAAAATTATATTTATTTTAAATGTTGGCAGCCCAATCAAAAGAAGAACTTTTTTGATGGAGTTCGTGGGGGGAAAAAAAATTGGGGGAGAGAAAGCGAAAGCAAAGAGAAACGCAGCAGACCACAGAATGAAATGAGAAAGCACCTCTTTACTCAAGGGGTCAGGTAGAGACCGGAGAGAGACAGAGAGAGAGATCTGGCTCCGAGCGAATGGAAAGGGACGTGTCGAGCTACAACACCTACAACTACGGCGATGCCCTTTACTGGGACGCCCGCTACGTCCAGGAGGCGTCCTCCTTCGACTGGTATCAGCGCTACTCTTCTCTCCGCCCTTTTGTCCGCTCCTTCATCCCCACTTCTTCTCGTGTCCTCATGGTCGGCTGCGGCAACTCCCGTACGTCCTTTCTCTGCTTTGAACGCTCTCTTTCTGCTGCATAGGGTTTTTGGTTTGTTGCTTTCTGAAATTTGGAAATGCCCAATGCTTTAGTTTTCCCTTTTCGTCTGTTTAACAAGGGAAAAATATAGGATTCTTTTGGGCAACGACTGTTTACTCTTCCACCCAACACTATAATAATAGCTCAGTCGGGTATACTTTAGGATTTAAAAAAAAGGAACTCGATGGATGGTTATCCATATGGGGCCATTGATGGCGTGTTAAGAGCAGCGAATTCGATACTGCCCTCAATAAAGGTTATGAATAAAGCTCCATTGCCAGCTATTTAGTACGAGTTTCCCCAAAAGCTGAAATCTTCCTGGGGATTCCCCCCTCTTCAAAGGAATTTTTTTTTTCTGTCACGAGCAGTAAGCTGTTTGTTTCTCTTTGCTGCAGTTATGTCGGAGGACATGGTCAAGGACGGGTACGAGGACATAATGAATATCGACATCTCTTCAGTGGCTATTGAGCTGATGAGAACCAAATATGCTTATGTTCCTCAGCTGAAATGTATACTTCTGGGCCTTTATATCTCCGGTCTTTTAAGTTGTCACCTCTGTTAATTTTATAACGTGTGAGCAAGAAGTATTATTGTATTTCATCCATGTATCTTGCTTGACAGACATGCAAATGGATGTTAGAGATATGAGCTTCTTCCCGGATGAGTCCTTTGATAGTGTCATAGATAAAGGTGCGTTTTCAACTGAAATTATCTACTGTTTTTGTCAACAAGTTTTTTTTTTGGATTGTAGCAGGCTATAGGCTCACTGTTTCACGATATTTGTTCCCTGTTGTCACATTTTTGACTCGGCTGCTGATTCCAGGAACCCTTGATTCTTTGATGGTATGGTAGATATTCCAAATCTCATTTTGTTTCTATTATTTGCGCTTCTATACAATTTAAGTTTTGGTCTCTTGTGACGGTGTCTTCCAGTGTGGCAATGATGCTCCTCTAAGTGCTGCAAGAATGTTGGGTGAAGTTAGCAGGTTATAGTTAGCACTATACGTCTGACAGCTGTTCATGATATTCTCTCCAAACTTACAGATGCCATTATTAGATTTCAATTGTATACCTGTTGGACTTACAGAATACAAGGATGTTGCCTGTTCTGTGCTAAAAGTTTCTCTGTCTCCATGTCTGCAGGCTCATTAAACCTGGAGGAACATACATGTTGGTAAATATTAGATGCACATGAGATACTCTCAATGTCTTGATTATGTATTTACCTACCTCATTTGCCTGTATGATCTAAAATTTTGCTTTTATCTTTTGTTCTGGGTGGATAGGTAACCTATGGTGATCCCAAAGTGAGAATGCCTCATCTGACCCGGCCGGTCTACAACTGGAAAACCTCCTTATACATAATACGCAAGTCTCTGATTGTTTCAATTATTATTTTTTTTTTGGTGTGGAAAGGGATCTACAGTTGTTGTGCAGCTAAATTGAGGCAGATGACACCAATGTTGTTGATGGGTAGAAATGTGAATTGGACTTTTGACTCATAAGTGACATTTTTTGCAGCCAGACCTGGATTTCAAAGGCCAGCAGGTAGCGGATGTTCAGGGAAATCATATATGGAACCAATACCTGTGACAAGTGAGGGCTTATTACCACAGGAGTATGTTCTGGAGGATCCGGATTCACACTTTATATATGTATGCAAAAAGACGAAGGAGATGGATGCAGCTCATGTGCCATTGATGAATGGTGTTTTCTAGAAGTTGTGTTCATTGCACCGAACTGCAGAAACGGTTGTGTACGTGTGTGTGCCTGTCTTGGGAGTCTTACCACTGATGCAGAAAACCTCTGTTTGAGTAACTTTTTAAGTTATACAAATCTTAGATAATTTTGACTTGGTTTCTCTTACCGAAATTGTATGGCGGTTTGCTTCATTTCGTTATTATATGCAAACTATTTTCGGCATTGCAATAAGATGTTTTAGAGATTTAGTTATTTTTTATAATGTTCCTTAAGGGGGTTTATTATCACATTTTGCATTTCTACGCTCTCTATTTCATTATCATATGGCGATTTGCTTCATTTCATTATTCTGTTGGTACCATTTCGCCCTTGCATTTATCTGGTGCAGATACATGTCATCATCTGACCTCCCGATTTTGTCTTATGCTTAGAAAGTTCGGAGTTGTTTGTACTGCAGAGCCCTTTTATCTGTAATGATAACAAAAAGAGAGGATATCGTTGATAGCCCCCGTCTCAGCCATGAGATGTTTATGGCGGTACAAATGGCGTCTACCCCAAGAATGGACTTGTCATTTGTAAAGAAAATAAAACAACCTGAACCTGATCTTACAGATGGAGAGATAAGGGAACGACCCGAGCTGGGGTGTGTATGTATACATACATTAGTGTCTCTACAAACAAGATTGCTTCTGATCTGATGATGATAAAATTGAGTTGCAAGAAAAGACACAACTCCTAAGAGGAGAGGATGATCTCAATCTCAAAATCACAAGGCCAGACTCCGCTTCGTGTCTTCCATTTTCATAAGAAGGCCTTTGATCTCTTCTTCCATCCTCAACTTCATCTCCAGATAATCTCTATGAGCTCTCTCCATTGTCTGGAACTCCTCATGTTTCTTACTCCGCGCCTCCTCTGCCTCACCCATACTCAACTTCATGATCCTGCTCATGTACTCCTCCTCTACCTTTTCCTTCTTTGCTATTGCAATCCGTTTTAAGCTCTCTGCTTCTCTTCTTGCATCATCCGCACGTGCTTGGAACATCTCTGCCTCTGCTTGCTTTATTCTCACAATGCTCTCCAGTTCCTCGAAAAGAAGTTCCTTTCTCTCGACATCTGACTCCACAGGACAGGCCTCGGCTCGCTTTGAGGGTCTTTTCTGGTGGTGGGGTTTATCTAATAAGCACATGGGTCTGAGCCACAAGTTGTCCTGACTAGAGCCAGCCATCCCATGGCTGCTTTTTGACTGATCATTTCTGATTGGGGCAGGAGCTTCACCCAAGTTGGAGGAATCGAAATCTGCAGTCAATTGTGCAAAAATAATTATGAGCCGAAGTTCTTCAGGTCTTTGAAAAGTTCATTTAACCAGAGTTCGTGCAAATTACAGAATATGCGACTGGAATGCATCCGGATAAAACATATGATAATATGCCAAAAGCATGAGAAATTAGGAAGAAAACAAACACCCTGATAAAAGAAATAAATGTACCTGACAGGAAACTCAGTATTCGATTGCAGGCTTCAGAAAGGCCTACAGATTTACTTGTTACGCTCGCCAGCATTAGATCAGCAGCTTCATGCAACCACTTCCCTCTGAAGTCTTTGCTTGCTGAAAATATCCTCTTGATATACTCAAGTTCCTTGCAAAATCTTTCGAGTTTCCATTCCCTGGCAAAATTCTGAAACACTTCTTTCACGAAGCCGAACATCTCCGAGGGATGGTCACAGGCTACACAATGGAATTGCATCTCGGTCTTCCCTTGGGTGCCAGACGGGCTGTTCCCATTCCGGATGAAAGATTCCCGTAGCCCGCAATCAGTGTGGCACCAGTGAAGACAAACATCGCAACCAACCCAGCTACAAGTGTTAGATGCCATGTCAAAACTCGAGCACACAAGGCACATACAAGCACTGCAAAACCCATCCTTCCTTGAACAAACCCTGCAATCACACTCATCAACAGGTACAAGACTCCTACAATTAAGATTTTTGCACCTCAAGTTCATGAAGATCTCAGCTAAATCAGAGGAAGAGAGGCCATTGTCCAACTGAAGGAATTCGGGGCATCCAGTTTTCAGCGAGACCAAGATCTCCAACTGAGCGCGATGGGATTTTTTGAGCAACTCCAATGTTATATCAGTCCTGTTCTGCAGTGCATCTTGAAAAGCATGGAGTTTTACATGCTTATCCATGTTTAGCATCATCTGCCGAATGCTTTCCTTCAAGCTACTAATGTATCGCACAGGCATCTCATTAAATTTCTTGGCCATTACATGCATGGAGTCAGAAAGAATGTAGCCGATGACAGTCTCAACAAAATCATCCCCACCAGTTCTCAGGCTACTACTTATCAAGGATATGCTACCACCAATCATCTCCTTGGATTTCTCCTTCTCAAAATTTAACTTTGAACCATTTTCCTTAGAACCCATACTCGGACACGGTGATCTAACATCAACACACTTCTGGAAACTCAACTGCTTCTCGAGTACATTAGCTCCCTTACAGCTTCCAGCTGCTATCCTAATACGTCCTTCCGCAACTTGAGCAGAATCTGATACACCTTTCAGTGCTTGAGGTTTAATGGAGCCATTTCCATTTTCCATTAGTCTTTGATAGATTTGACTTTCTTTGTTATTTGAATCATTATGAGATAGTGCTTGCCAATCAACACCCTGAAATATAGGTCGGCTGTGAACTGACTGATCATTATCCGCAGCATTCTGATTCAATGAACAACTTGGATTATGATGAAAGGAGTGGGAACCTGAGAAGGACATCGACAAGGTGAAGCATTCAGAATCGGTACAAAATGTGTTCGTCAAGGACCGAACGCTTCTAGAGCAGACTGGAGAACCAGGAGTCTGACTAATATCTTGGCCACCCATCGGCAACAATACATCTGGTAGACCAAGAGACAGATCCAGTGGCTCCAGCAGTAGCTTCTCATCTTTTGGTTTCTTAAGATCAGAATGCTTGGTTTTGCCTGACTTTCTAACCGGAGAGCTGGAAAAGAGTTCAAACCCTCTAACACTTGGTCCTTCCAAATTGCCATCTTCATTCTGATTCCTGTTAGCAAAGTTCCCATATTTTCCTTCAGATAGAGCTCCATTCCCAATAGAATCAAGAGGTGTGACAGCCACGCTTTTTCCTTTATCTTTGCATATCTGGGCAGAGCACACCGATACCATGTTTATGTACTCCGTATCCGTTCTATTTGCCTGTTCAGTTTCTTCATCACATTTTGGTGCTTCGGCTTTCGCTCCGTTGACATCAAGATCACTACTCTTTTCATGCTTGGGTTCTTCTGTGTCAAACTGTTTGGCAACGGCCAATAGTGTGTTTCCTTCCAATTTGAGTTTATCATTCTCCTTTCCGCCCTCACCTTCATCATCAATCATATCCCTGGTCTTCTTTTCATAGACAGTATCTCTACAATCTCCAGTTTGGTTACTCACCAAAATCGTAGCACTATCATTCACACTGTTCTCAGAAGCATGCAGCTCAGCAACTTGTTTTGGCACATCTTCCACTTTCTCAACACTTGTACCATCCCCCGAATCCCGAGCCTCGTCCATTTTCTTCTCACTGTTCTCAAGTTCAAGTTCCCCGTGATTATTTTCAGTTTTGGCTTCCCCTATGTTATCATCAAACTCACTGTCCTTCCTGATTTCTCGGTGAGTACTCTGAATCTCTGTTTCCCTGTGATCATTAGAAAGCCTGATAGATTCCTCGTCTCTAACGTGATTGCTGGTCAGGGAAGCACCTGATGCGGTCTGAGGATGGGGCTCAGGCTCCAGCTCCCCTTCCTCCATCTCGCTACTACGTCCACCACTCTTGCCCTGTACCTCCTCCTCGCTCTTTCTGGCAACATTTCCAACACTTTTTGACTGCTCACTCCCCGAATCCTTAGACCATGAAGAAGAAGCCAAGGGCTTAGACTTGGAGCGGGAGTTCCTTGAATCCTTTGATTCCGCACACATTC